TACATATTCATAGAAATATATATATTTACCCAACTAAATACATCTATTATATAGAATACTATAATAGTATAAATGTGGCAAATTATTGAATTACGGGATGTAGTATTTTGGAGTCTGAAGGGGAAAAGGTGAAAAATACAAGACTTTTCACAAAGCACTATCATTTTTATCTCAATTGACATTGATATCAATCACTCTTTTTTCATTCAGAGTGATTGAACAATATGACAACCATTTTCAAGTTTGTGCACACAAAAGGAAAAATGAATGATATAAACTACATGGTTGGCAATCTTGGTGCAGTTCCAAGTTTACTAGAAAGCAACCATATGAAAGGTTTATGTACTATGCAAAGACAGTCCATGAAAAGGATTGGCTGGCACAGTATGACACAGTGCCTGATGTGCACTATAAGCCTTAAGCAAATGTGGAGTGGATGTAACAGAACAGAATAGTTGGTTCCCCATGGTAAGCAGTTCCTGTGCCTTTTGAAATACATGTGTTTACAGACACAGCTCTTGTATAACAGACAGCTCTTTTATTATAAATGATGGAAGGGTGACACTTTAATGATAAAATGTTATTTTTAGAAATACTGATACATTCTGCATTTTCAAATTTCTAAGTATTTTTATATTAGAACTGATTATATCCATAGATACAAGAAGTTGAAGTAAATCAACAAATGGAGTTATCTGCCTAAAATACATTTCACCTTAACCATTTATATTTCCAATTTAAGTTATAAATTGAACACACATAGTAAGAAATAGGATGTGAATTCAGAGAGCACATTATGTTCTTAAAAATTTGCAATTTATTGAAAATTTGAGAAAAAGACAAAATTTTCTGTCTATGTGTTTTATACAAATACTCCACAGAACACAATAACTTAAAAAGCTTGTTATGGGTAAAAGATTAAAAATTATTTTTAAAATTCCTAAATGAATTGCTCTTTCTTATAAATATATATTTTAATATAAATACTAAATTTGAATAAAATACACAATTTGCATCCATTGTTTATGTTTTGCAAAGCCCTACAATGTGTCAACCCTATAAGGAAGAGTATTATATTATTTTAACAGTGTTGGAGACATAACAGAAAAGTGTCCATACGTTGAGGTTTCTTTGCAAAAAAGGGAGCAAGCAATAAAGTTTTTAATCTACTTTCAAAATGAACAACTTGCTTTAGATTATGGTATTATATATTTATTAAATTAAAATCAAATTAGAGAAAGTGATGAAAAAATCAAAAAGGCATATTTTCTTTTTATAAACATGTGGTTTATAGATTTTTAGATTATATCCTTTTCAGTCTCCCTAATATTCATTTAAATCCAATTCAAATAGCGACACATATACCTATGTGTGAACATAAATAAAGTTAATGTAATGCTACTACTTGTATGGAAAAAGTATCTATTGTTGCATATTAAAACCTACACCTGTGGAATAATAAATGTCATGTAGTTAAGCTGATGAGAACCAATTAAAGATCTGAGAAAGGAAATTATAAATGTTCATTGCTTTTAAGTTCTATTTTATAGTTGATGCTTTATCTTATATTTTTATGATCAAGCACATTTCTTGTATATGCAGTATATGAACAGAAATTGTTAAGTTCAAATGAGAATACTTATGTCACTCCTAATACTGGGGAAAAGATAACCATTCCAATGTCCTAGCATGGAGAAATTTCTATAGCTTTTAAATATACATCTTTCTTATAACAGAAAAAGTTTTATATCATTAACATTAAGTACCATTCTTTTATGAGATGTTATGTTTATTTCCTACTGACACCAATAATTATTATTAATATATTTACCCCATTACACATTTTACATCAAAATTCCCATATGCCAATAGTCTGTGAGTCCACTGTTCTTGACTGGCTTTTTGATATTACTGAGATAAAAGTTTATCATGAATAGTAGTTATAAGTAAATGTTTTATGTAAAAGAACGGGATTTGTAAATAGAGTCTAAAATTAAGAGGAACAGATTTAAATTAACATTACAATACTGCCTACCATACACATCATCCTGAGATTCAAAATAGAAGTGTTTTCACATGTGGGCCAAGAAATTAATTCCAGAACAAGAGAGCTAGCTACCTTTGTGAAAACTGTGTTTCAAACTACCAATATAATGTTTGCATTCTATAATATGAAATTGATGTCTTTTCCATTTATATTTAAACCAATAAGCATTAGGTGGTTGCTACCATATGGCAGATTTGTTTCAAACCTTACTGAAACAATCATTTCCAAAAGAACAGCCTAAGCCAGGGGAAGAATCATATAAAATTTCCTTCATCTGAAAAACAAACCAGTTATTTTAGCTTTAACTCTTTTAACTACCATGTTAATATAGAAGAATATGCTACATGAGAATGTATGCTAACCAGAGGGCAGAATATTAAAGAAACTGTTCAGAATATGTTCTAATGAAATTTAAGCATAATATTATTGTAGACAACTCTGTTTAAAAAGAAAAAACTCTGAATTACTAATTCTAATTCGGGCTCTATGCCAACGAGTGCATAATTTTACAGTATGTTGATAGCATGTTCTTCCTCTGATAAAAACTTCTTTTATTAGTTTTTCCCTAAAAATTGTCATTTCAAAAACAAGAGAATTTACTAATAATATCCAGAGAACTGTATATGTCAAAGTATAATAATTTGCCTTTAATAAAGTCTGTAATTGTTATACTCAGTTTTTATCAACTTGAAAATTTCCCCCAAAAATATGAGATTTATCTTGATAAACATGCCATATGAATCTTTTTCTTGCAAGAAAAGCAAATGGCACCACATCTTGATGAAATTAACGCTGCATTTTTTTAAATTCTTAAGGTTTATTCAGAAATCTAGCATGCAGTACAAATGTCAACTATCATCTCCATTCTCTTCAGAAGATGGTGTCACTAACTTTTCAAATAAATGAAAAGAAGTCTTATAAAAATATTGCTAACATTATCTACAAAAGACTGACTCAGCTCTATTAAATATTTTATTTAGCTCTTATTTCATGAAATAATGTTTCATAAAGTTGGAAAATATCTTGAATTTCCATTGTTAAAAAATAAATTTCAAATCCTTTCAGGAAAAGAAATTCTGGTTTCCTAAATCCTATTTTTGCCCACAATTTTGTTTCCTGTCTTCAGTGAATTTGTACCTATGAAAACTGAGTTATTTTAATTTTAGGAAAGCATTCACTGCAAATGCCCTTCTTATAATAAAGATTTTACACTAATTTTTACCTTGGTACGATGAGGAATAAAAGGTATTTTGTTGTGTTTTGAAAACTCATGGTGTCCCCCCCCATATGATGATGCATTCCATACAAATGATAGAAATATTGATAAAATGTCAGTTAAAAATAACACAAAAAATGTGTAAACTGAACAAACTGACTCCTTTTTAAAGAGCCATTACTTTATTTGACACGAAACACAAGCGAGTCACTTGAGTTCGCCCTTTATAGGCCATGCTACAAAAAGCCTTAAAAATTGAATCAATCAAAGTGTAATTTCTAATTAAGAATGAATATTTTTGAAACATCTTTTGGGTAATTCTTATTCTTTTTATGTTTTAAAATATCCACATGGCACATCCTGCCAATTAAACGAAGATCTACAGATGGCATTTACCCTTTCACTTCACAACAAAAAGGATCTGCAATCATTTTTATGGAAGATTATCTAAAAAAGAACACGACTGTATATCACTGACAAAAATTATTAGGCATTCCCCTTCTCCAGGTTAGAACGTGCATCTTTAGATGCTTGTACTGACATCTAAAGCAATAAATACTTTTAAGCAGCATCTTAAATAACAGCTGCAGGGTTTCAACTGGTAAAGATTCAGTTAGGATCACCAAAACTCCAGTATTCAGCACTCAGCCAACAAAGGACAGCAAATAATTCCCAACAGTATATATACCGGGAAGGCTACCTAGGGCTTTGTTTTTGTTATGTAAAATGCATTAAAGTGACTCATCCACTTAAGATTACCTACTCTTAGAAGCTTTAAAGTAGCTTCAAGAACTAAAATAAATGCTTTCCCAGAATGCCTGATAGGCTATTCAGTGCATTTTAAAATATGTATATATTTTTATGTGCCACCGACTTTAATTCTTTTTTTCCAGCCTAAGAATTGTTATTTTTCATTCCCTTCCTGCCATGTGACTATATAGCTACCTTTAAACTCTCTAGTTCCAGAATAGAAGCGAGGTGGTTTTTTTTTTTTAAGTTATTTTAGAAATGTTAAAAATAAGAGAAAATTGCAGGAAACGCTCGGTCCCTCCCTCAAAGAATAGGTTCTATTAATTCTAAGAACAGGAACCGCGCGTGTGCCGACACTTAGACGTTTCAAATAAAGGGGTAGAGGGATTGGATCGCTTGGACCCAGTATCTGCGAACCCCCAGGGGTGGACAGCATTTTCTGCTCCCGAGAGCCAGCAAGCTGCTGATCAGAAAGACTGACAAGTGCGCCGAGAAATTTAGGCTCTAAACGAGTGTGGACACTGTCGAAATTAGACAGCATCCGAAGGCTAGGTGTGGGAGAAGTCCACTCTCCCCTGGCAAGTCTGAAAATATCTATTCGTAAAATCCCCAACCAAAACACAACTTTTTATTGGTCTGGGTTCGAGGAGAGTGGGTATCAGCCGGGAAACTTTTTCCCCCTGGTACAGCCCAACTCTTTTAAGTATAAAGACTCCTTCTGGAGACGGACCGAGGCTCCGCGAGTGGCCGGCAGACCTTGCCCGGGACAGCGCGGCCCCGCGGGGCGCGCGAGCCGCGGGTTCGGGGCTCGTGGCAGCCGCGGGCCGCGCTCCCCTCCCGCTCGGCCTCTCCAGATCCGAGCCCGGCTCGCTCCCAACCCCCACGGGCAGAGCAGCCCCGAAACTCGGGAACAGACCCCGCGCCCAGTTTCCAAAGCACCCCTCGGGCCGCCTTCCCGGCCCTGCCTGGCCCGCGCCCAAGACTTACGTGACGGGCGAAGGAAACGGCTCCTCGGACGAGGGGCCCATCAGCAAAAATTGGAAAAGTGTCAGAGTCAAGGCCAGCAGGCAGCCAGCAGCCATCTTCGCGATCGAAGATCAATCCCGCCTCCCTCCCCGGCCGCGGGCAGGGTCGGCGCTGGAGTCGGCGGGCGCCGGGGCAGCAGCTCACCCCGGCCGGCCGGATCGCGGGCGTCTGGAGCCGGCGCGCCCGGCCCGGGGCGCGGACTCGGGCGGGGGTTGGCGGGGGCGCACCCGGCGCCGGGGAAGGGGCGGCGGCGGGGGACCCACTAGCGCGCGCAGGCTGCTCCTCGCCGCGGCCGCCCGGGCTCCGCCGCCATCAAGGGCGACTTTGGAAACAGACCTGGGCGAGCCCGCCGGTGCTCGCGCCCAGGCGCTATCTCGCTCCCTCTCGGTTCCTCCCTGATTTATTCCCCTGATTGTCGCCGGGAGGGAGGAGGCGGGGCGGGGGAGGGGTGGCGGCGCTGGGGAGCGGGGTGGGTGGGGGTGGATGCAGGAATAGGGGAATGGCAGGCAGGGAGACTTGTGGCGGGGAGAGGCTCCGTCTGGCTTCGCCGGGCAAGTCGGAGGGAGGCGGCTGGGGGTGGGCAGCGGGAGGGCCGGGCGTCAGAGCAGCCGGGCGGAGACCGGCCAGGAACAGCCCTCCATACAAGGCAGAAAGGAACTCCCAAAGTCGGCGTTGGCTCGCCCCAGCCGCCCGGCGTGCAGAGAGGGGGAGCGGACCTGGACCCGCGGGGTTCCCGGGGGACAGCCCGCAGCCCAGCGAGCCTCCCCAGGATGCGGAGTATCCAGCCGAGTACTTGGCTCGCGTCTTTGGGGTTATTTTTGCACATGCAGGCAGCGTTCCCCCAACGCTTCTCCCAGGCGCAGAATCCACCGCCTGCCTAGGAACCGCGGAGAAGTGATTTAACCACAAATGTAGGAGGGGTTTGTATTTGCATTTTGAAGCATCACTTTGACTCTACCAGGTGGTACTAGGGAGGGCCTGGGGGTAGAGCCATTGCGGTGGCGGAAGGCCAATTGTGTCCGCCGCTCCACACCCAGGTACGGCTCACCTAGAGATATAGAGCCTCAGGGCCCGGACTGTGGACGAACAGAGCAGAACCTGATGCTGACAGAACCTTAGCAGTCCTGTCAGTTGGACAGAAGGGTGGGGGGATTGATTTCTCCATGCAGGAAGGGCAGTGCTTCAAGGAGCTGGTAATGACCTGGTGAGACTACCACCAAAAGCTTCCAAATCCCTGCTCTGGCCACTAGGTAGCTCTGCCTGACAGGGTTGCTGCAGGGTGAGTCCACTTTGACAGTTTGAGGGCAGGAAAAGGGGGCAGGAAACAGGTGGCAATTTTTGAAAAGCATCTTGCCGGTGGAGAAAGAACTAAGGCAGCCGGAGAGAGCTAGAGTGTAGCAACGGGAAACCAATTTCACCTTCACCTCCAGGAAAACAGTGGCAGCGCCTGCCCAGGCCTTCTCGTAAGAAGAACAGAAGGGTCTTGGATTAGGCCTCTCCTACCCGCGCAGGCCTCCCTCGAGTTGTAGGCAACTGGTGCGCCAGGGGTGGAAGGTTTCCTTGAGCGTCGTAAATTCTTAAGCTCCCTCTAGTAGCACCTTAGAGCACTTTGGACATGAAGTTCAGAGAACACCTTTCCTGATGACAAAAGTGACCATCCTGCCTACACTGGAAAGCTGTACTTACAGGGTGGCAGATTTTTAATAAGCCCTTTTCTACATTCAGGAGGAACTTGAGAGGCGAGAGCGCCTTCTGAATTCGACGTTTCTAGCTTTCTGAAGGCAGTCTCCAAACAGAGAAGACTGAATAATACCAGCAAAATTTCAAGTGTGTGGATTTTATGATTCTTGACCCATTGATGTTGCCTGCCCCCTTACCTCTCCTTTTTTGTGCCTTATTTGCTTTCTTTATGTTCTTCCATCTCTATCTTACTCTTTGTTTCTTTCTTCCTACTCTGAGTGGCCTCACAAAAGGCACCCCACTGTGACTTAACTTAGTTTGTTTTATGCTAAGCATAGAGAGTGTGGCAGCAGGAGCTGCTGAAATGAGAGATGAAGTGGGATGTAATGGGATTGAGAACCAGATCCTGGAAAGGATATTTTATGTAACTGCAGAGAGCTTTCCGGTTCTAAAATGAGATAACCAAATAGTCAAGTCCATCATTTTTTTTTCAATTTTTAATGATTCAAAAGCAGATTTTCTTCCCCAGCATGGGTTAAGAATAGCAGAATTAGATGCCCATTATTGTCTATGTGATATGTTGGTATCATAATAGCTTCACTACATGAAAATATTATTATAATGCATTCTGTCCATTATTTCAGAATTAAGACTTCCTACTAAGGTACACCATTCCGGTTTAATATCTTTAAGAAAAAAGAGCTTAAAGAACAAAAGAATATAATAAACTTCCAGAGAAGGTAAGTCAGCCTTCCTTATTAAGTTTTTTGGCCTTTGAGCCAAATCTCAATTTCTCTGGATCACTCTGATGAAGCACTGCATTCACTAATATCTGAAGCTGTTGAAGAAAGATATTGCTTCTACAATTCTTACTGAAAGGGTTGATTATCAACTGTGGGCTTAAATCATTGTTTAATATTCTGTTGTGATGTTTGCTATAAGTTGTTTTTTATGAACCTATTTTAATAAAGCTACTCAAATTGGCTTTTATTTCTTGTGACCAGGTAAACAAGGTCATTTTTACAACAAAGCATTGTATGTCTATTGATTACCACACCTTCTACATTTGACTCAGTTCTATTATTTTTGAAAATTCCATAGAAACAGATCACATACCATTCATTTTAATAAAATATATCTAACTCGGGCCTCCCCGGTGGCGCAGCGGTTGAGCGCTGGGTTGCGAAGCTGCCCGCAGCCTCTGCAGCGCCGGTTCGATCCCCGGCTGCTCCCTGGCCACTGGAGGAGGGTCCCACATGGCGCGCAGACCTCTCCTGCCGCCCGCTGCTCCCCTCAGCAGTGTACTTCGGTCCTTTTGCCTGCTCTGCTCCCTGCTCTGGCTCTGGTGAATTCTCTCACCCTCCCATGCTCCTGACTGTACCCAGTGCATGTATGAGCAAAACAAACAAACAAACAAATAAATAAATAAAACATGCCTCTATTTAAAAAAAATAAAATAAAATAAATCTAACTCACCTAATTTTGCCATTCAAAACAAAAATGTTTACTAATCATAAGAATTGAGAACAAAAGTGTTGTATTGTGGGCAAGAAGTCACAAATCAAAACCTACTATTCATTTGAAAAAGGACATGTTCCAGTAAAAAAGTAAAGGTTAGTGAAGAATTTCAGACTTTTGTACTTACTCATTTTTAGGAAACAACACACTCACTTTTCATAAATATGACAATCTATGATTTGTCACTCTTAGTTAACTCTCAGTTGTTATTATGTTTAATTGGTTCATATGCATTTCATTTTTATTAATGAAAAGTGAACAAAGAACAAGATGTACTTAATAACCATGTAATGGTCCCTTTTACTCCCTTTTTACTTTAGGTTATATTGTGCATATTGGTAGCATAAAATTCTATTTTTTGCTACTTTTTTGTGAGCATATTTTTATATATACGCATGAACATGTTTTTCCATGATTTTTTTCCCCAGTATGTCAAATCTAATTTCTCCTACATTTTGGCTTAAAAAATAAGATAAAGTAACCTAATTTAATGGCTTCTCTCTTTTTTGCTCTCATGTATAAACACGTGCACAGAAACTGGAAAAGAAAATAATTCCTCTGGGCCAAAAAAAATTTTAAGTTTATAAATAATTTTGTAGGCTTTGTTAGGAAAACTAAGAACATCTTGACAACAAGCCTTATTTATATGCAAATAGAGCATCTGACCTGTCTCTGAGTTACAGATATACTATAAGAACCATAATCATAAATACTGGTTATTTAAGGCAGTATCAAGCTTATATGCATAAACAGATGTGTGACAGGGAAAACCAAAACACATAATCAAGTACTTCCCAAAAACAAGACAAATATTTACAAGAAAATTTTCCTTGGCTTAAATAATATAGCTATAGACAGACATCACATTAAACTTCAAAGGATAAAAATATTTTTTTCTACATTGAAGTTTATATATGCCTACTAGAGTCTTCTTCAGGCAACCTTATGTCAACTTAAGTATTTATAAAAATTTAACTGTCATTTTAAAATACCACTGTTTCTTCATAAAGCAATAGCTTTTATGGTATTCTGTTTTTCAATCTCTACTACTCATAGAAGTTTTCATTCAGTACTTCTTTCTTATTTGCTTTTTACCATTCCTCTCTTTATTCCCCATTAAACACAAGCACATTTCAGGAAAAAATCAGTACCTACAGCATAACTTCCCATAAAAAATCTCTACCAGACTCAAATCTAGATTTCACAGTAAGATCTTTCTTCACTCCATTAACAAAGCTGGGTTTTTTTTAAAAAAAAAAACCCTGCCATTATAGCACAAAGTATATGGAATCCATTTTCTTAAGCCTATATAGACAAAGGAAAGTAATTCAGTCATTTAACAGTAAAAATTCAATGGAAAGTGGTTAATAAGAGGTAGATACTAACATTTGAAATGGTCAAAACTAATAATAACTGGCACTCTACAATTTGTTAATTTTTATGGATGCAGTCTTCTATGAGAAAGAACGTATTTACTGATATTACTCTACTGATGCTAAGTTTTTAATATTTTTCTAAACACAGTAGAATATCATTATGACCTAGTATATCTCTATTAGAATTTAGATGTTATGGATCAGTTTCAAATGCTATATAGATATTATACAATTAATCTATTAAGTGAATATCTGCAAAACACTACAAAAGGCTAGAAATTTCTTCCTCCACAATAATGAGCATGTAAGAGAAAGTAAGAGCAAGCATTTTATTTCTGTAGTCACAGATCTTAGATTTATATAATTTAAAAGCATACTACTATTGCAAAGAAGACATATTGTCTGGATATATCAGTAAATTTAGAGTTAAAATCCTATATTACATTGACAGGTGAATCAAATAGAGATCATGCTACTGTCATCTTTCATAGATGGAAGATAATATACTTTCAAGTCTGGTATTTGGAAGTATTTGAAAGTCAACTTAGACCTAACATTCTATAGTAATCGAAATTCTTTAAGACATAAAAGGTGGTATTGCGTAATTTCTTAGGTTTCCTGATAATTTAGTTAAAAAAAATACTGTGATTCTTAGTAGGTTGAAGGGTATTGTTTTTTGTTTGGTGTTCTAAAGTTATTTCATCATTGAATCAAAAATATTTCAACATTACATACTTTTAAAACTAATAGAAGAGATCAAAATAATTCTGTCTAAATTTAGCTTACATTCCTACAACTGGAATTTATATACATTGATTTTTTTTTTTGCTTATTCAGAATTCCTTAAATTTTA